ACAGGAGACGCTTCTGCTTAATATAAATTTGAAACAAAGTTTTATGTACAAGAAAAACAAACAATATAGGCTACTAATTAACTCATAGAAAATTTGAACAAGGTTTATGTTCAAGAACAACAAAGAAAGTGCTACATACAAGAAACTAACTGATCACCCCCTTTTACCCTTTGAACCAAATTTTTATGCCCAAAATTTTAGTAATGTACTCCCTCCAGTCCTTTTTACTCCGCGTATAGATTTGTGTCAAGTCAAACTTTGCAAAGTGTGACCAAATTTATATGAAAAATTATTAAGATCTACAATGCCAAATATATATACTATGAAACTAGAGTTGATAATGAATCTAACAATATCGGTTTGGTATTGTGAATGTCGATATTTTTTTCTATAAGTTCGGTCAAAGTAGAGGTACTTTGAGGTACTTTGACTTTGAACAAAACTTATATGCAGACTAAAAAGGACTGGAGGGAGTATATATACAAGTGAATTAAGCTAGGTTCCATCATCCGAACGTGTTATCTTGTATTTACTTTGAAAGAAAAATCCTTATAGATATTCAATATCTATAAAAAATATCCAAATTCTCCATCTTTTGTATATTTTGAGTCACTATTTGAAGCATTGATTTTTTAAGCAATACAATAGGACGCTTTACCTCCTATATAAATTCTATTGTCCTAAACACAACATTATAGGCTCATAGTGGAGTGCAGTATTTTGGAATTTTCATAAAAATATATATTGAAATTTTGGAACGGCTTTTAAGAGATTCCACATGTACATGTATAGATGTGTCCTACATATATGTAAAATTTCTCAATAAATATATTCATTTGTGCACCTCAAAAATAAAATAAATGTACTGGTCTATTATAGATCCACATGTTTGTCTTTCTCGTTTAGCCCCCAAATAAACATATTAGTTCAGGAAATTTATACGTAAGTAGAGCATCTACACATGTGAAAACAAATTCACGATTCAATGTAATCCCTATTAAACACTATTTTTCTATGAGTTAAATTATATTGAAAAAAAATAGAAACCTTTGCCTACAAAAATGGGCAGGAGAATAGTCGATCCAGTATGTTTGAGGGTTAAGACTTAAGAATGATGCTACATCGTGTGGCACCCATAGTGTGCTATCTTGAAATTCAAATCATCCAGAAAAGAAATGAACGATGCACATTTTCGCTTTTCCATAACTACATTAGACTTGAGCAAATTGTTCATTCGGAAACAAAAAGAATGATGCCACGTTTTTTCTTTTCCATAAGCACATTAGACTTGGGCAAATTGTAGCAAGAATTTACGTATATTCATATGGTACTTTTTTTTGCGGGGATATTCATATGGTATTAAATGCATGTAGAATCCAAAAAATTTCTGTAATGAGGTCGTAGCCTATGTTAAACTGAGTTGCATCTCGAAAAGAATGTACTCCCTTTATAAACAAATATAAGACCGATCACTATTTTCTTCATAATATGAGAAACGTGGACTTCACTATATTTTTTTGCGCGGACACATTTTTTTTGAGTGATGGATTTGCACTAGTTTGAACTTGACTTATGCACACGTACACGCGTTAAACATTGACATTGTGAAAATGAAGTAGTAGCACGCCAATGACTTGTGTCTTTACGCCCGGATGGACTCTCTCCGGTTCACCAATCACTGAGTGCTTAATTCCCAACCATGGATCATTTTTCTTGACATCTCTCTCGATCACGATGGTTGTTGCTTTCCAAACTGATTAGACGCTCTTACTTGGTGAACCGATGTGACAAATATAACATTAACATATGGAGCTTTGCGCATGAGAAATCTTCTATAAGATCATGATTAGAGGGGCCCATTATAAGGACCGTTCGGGTGATGGAGAGTGGAAACTTTTATAGATAAAAAGTTGCTGTAGATAACGTGTAGTGTACAAACGCCCTTTAGACATGCATGAGTTGTTTGTACTAGGATACTAGCTTGTAGTACAAAAATAGCTGTCGAGTTGCATACAGAGAATGTATACGTCGTCGTTCTTAGTTTCCCCTTTTTGATGAGAAAATTAATCTCGTCCTCACAATCCCACATATTCTTACTGCACAGCGGACACCATGCACTAGTACACCATTTTCTTGCGAGGCATGATGCATTGATTTCCTCGCATGCACACATTGCACGGATGCACTGTTGGAGATTAGACGTGTCATGCTTCCTCGTACGTATTCGAGTAACCTGTTCCTGCACAGCTAGAGCACAGAAACAAGTACAAATACAACACTACGTAGCATGCATGTATAGCTAGCTCCTTCTCCAAGTACCCTCCTGCTAGCTAGAAGGAGACATGTAGGTCGTCTAGCGGGGACATCACATGCATGGGTTAACCGCGTCACTTTTTTTATTAGAAAAAGAGTATACTGCGCTCGTAACTGAAAGCGGGGGAGTACGTACGTACCTTGCCGTGTCGTTCAAACACGGGCGGTACGTAGGGTAGCTGCTGCTGTTGCTGGGACTTGACGTGACGGATCACCCACGACCAACCGAGGAAGGAAGAGCAACGAGCGAGGGGGAGCGCGCAAGCAGCAGGCAGACTAGACGACACGCACACGCGCTTGTGTTTTCCGCCTGCCCTCGCCATCAATTCAGTGGCTCCCAGCGAGCCACCTCTCCCTCGCGCGCGCCATCCATCCATCCCTTTATCACCTCTCACCCCAGGCAAAACAAAACATATGCCTTTTAAAAGAAATGAAAAATACACCCGAAAAGCATCTTATATCTGATATTTATAAATAAGAAAAATAATGGACAACACATTGGAATGACATCTCAATAGATTTGATCTTTATGTGATTGTAGGCTACCCGTTGGAGATTGGAAATTGGACTAAACCAACACTCCAACGGTAAAAGAAAGGGACACATGTAAGCGGCTTTGTCATACTAGGTTTTGAAGACCGCAATAACCACTAATCCCTTAAGACGAGATCTGGAAATGTTGTAGAAGCATCGGTTGGAGCATCACCCTACACAAAACAGGCTGGCAATCCATTACCACCAGTCTAGATGATTGGAGAAGTCAGATCGTGCCCTAAAACAACACAAAAAAAGATGTCGAAGTCGTCGCATCAATGGTGAGACAATTGCTCTCGTTGAAGGACACACCAACTGATCTGAAGAGAGCCTACAAATCTGGGGACACAAACTCTCACAGGCTCTTCGTCGACGCCAAATCGAATGTCGTTGAGGTAGAGAGAGACCAAAGAGACCTTATTCTAGCACGCCACCGCCGCCACCACCTCATCAATGTCATTGGAAAAACAAAACCTAAATAGAAAAAGGGAACAGACGGACGGGTCCCCACTCCTCTTGCAGCCGACGAGGCCACCGAACGGGAAAGATGAGGGGTCCCGATGTGGCAGCATGGGGAGAAACTTCACGGCGGCTAGGGGTGAGAGAGTTGTTGTGGAAAAAGATATGGTACGATGAAACAAAACAAATATTGATATGCACACGAGCGGTGAAAAATCATATGTACATGCAATGCAAGCGAACATATTCTAATCTTGCTGAGAATGGAGCCTCCTCGGGCATCGAGGTCGTCTTTGCATTCATGGACCCACTATCCGGGCAAAGATTAGTTATGGGTTGTGCTTGGG